CAAACTGGAGCAGACTGCCGAACCATTCCAATTCACCAGCTTTACAGAATCGAACACCACACACGGCAATCAGAAATTAGTTCTCTGAAATGCAAAAAAAAAAAAAAATCTGAATGGCCATTAATGTGTTTTTCTACCATTATTTGTTGAGCGCCGACTGTCTGCCAAACCCCACGCTAATAGGCTCCCAGGGGTCACCCCCACTTTCTCATGATAAATCTCAGCTTCCATCTGAGGTCCCAGCCCAGTCAGCTGTGAGTACAGGTCACCGTCCTTCCCTGGACCAGGGATCCATGCTAGAGGGATTGCCAGACCTTGCCTTTGAGATTCATCTACGTAGAAAGTTGCTGAGATGACACGTCTAAACTTTCCATTTCAAACTCGGGAGATTTGAAGGATTTCAACAACTCCCGAGTCCTGAAACACCCCGTAGAGCAGGGGAACTATTTGGGAACCAAGCCGCGGATCCCAGTCCTGCGACCACCCTTCATTAGAAGTCCTTCTCCATGCAGGTGAGCAGTTTTTATGAGACGCCACTGTTTGCTTTCTGCAGGAGCAGGGCTTCCACCCGCGCACCCGCCAGAGCACCGGCCCCGGCTCGGTGAGCAGCTCCACGCTGGTGTTTCCCGTCAGTGGAGTCGCGGGAATTCTGCACATGGGATCCCCTCTGGGTGAACCACCGTTCACCTCAGAACACTGAAGGAGGAGCTAAAGACACATATTTGACTTTGCTAAACCTTACGTTTCTCAAGCTTTTTTGCCCACGAACTCTCACCTGTCCCCGCGGTGCTTCAGGGAACTGGTATTCTGTGAACAGGCGTCTGTGGGGGGTTTCGGGGTTGCGCACAGGTTCGCCGGGCTGCTCGCTGCGGATTCCTTTGCCCGCTTCCTCCCCGGTTATCCCGGCTCATTGCCATGGAGACGCTCTGAAGGGCATCTGACAGCGGTGGAGAAGGCTCTTCTCCGTCACCGCACACACACGCACACACACACACACGCACATGCACACGCACACGCACGCACACGCACACACACACGCACACACACGCACACACACGCGCACACACGCACACGCACACACACACGCACACGGGTTGCCTTCAGCAGCTCTGAGAACCCCTGGGAGGCCCTCCGCTCGGAGCTGTTAGCTTTGTTGCTGTGTCTCCTGTCCGTCTTTCCTCAGCTGCCCTGCGGCCACTTCAAACCCCTTCCCACGATCGGCAGTTACCATCTCTTCTCTTCTTCCGTCTGTTTCCTCTCTCTTCTCTCCCACATCAGCCTTGGGCTGGAAGGGCAGGACGACTTAGAAACAGCCCCTCTGACATGAAGTGCCCTGTCCCCCCGCTGCTCCATGGCTACGGGGGGACCTCCAGCTGCTCCCAGGTCCAGAGGGGTCCCACAGCTCTCCCTGGCGTGAGGGTCCCTTGGCCGTAGGCCACATGGACTTGGGGGTCAGCAGTGCTTGCAGATCGGCCCCAGAGGGAAAGGGGGTGCATGGAAGGTGAGGAGCTGGCGTCAGATGACGGACGTCCAGAACTACTGCCCGTGAGGTGTGTGCAGGAAGGCTGCTCTTTGATCTCTGGCTCAGTTATTAGGTATAAAGCCTGTTGCACTTGACCAGGGAATAAAATGCAAACAACTGTAATCACTATTTCTCTGAAGAGAGTTACTTTATTACCTCTTTGCTTCTTCATTTATTCAACAAATATATACTGAGTGTCATCTATGTGCCAAGGCTGCTCAGAGTGCTGGGGTTGAGCCATAAACACAGACTGCATACAGCAGGCCCTGCCCTCCTTCCCTCGAGTGGGAAGGGGAATGTGTTTGTTGGGGCTCTCCAAAGAAAAAGAACAGGATGTATATCTGTAGATACATACGTTCATACACACACACACACACACACACACGTGTTTATTATGAAGAATTGGTTCACATGGTCCCATGATGTTGGAGGCTGACAAGTCCCAAGGTCTGCAGAGCAAGCCGGCAAGCCAGAGACCCGAGGGAGCCGGTGGTATAGTTTCAGCCCAAAGGTCAACAGGCTTGAGACCCAGGAAAGCTGATGTTCAGTTTGAGTTCAAAGGCAGAAACAAGCTGATGTCCCAGTTTGTGGGCAGTCAGACAGGAGTAAATCTGTCTAACTCAGGGCAGGGTCAGCCTTTCTCTTCTACTCAAGCCCTCAGCTCATCAGCGGGGGCCACCCACATTCGGGTGCTTTACGCAGTCTACTGATTTAAACGTTAATCTCATCCTAAAACATCCTTACAGAAACATCTATGCTAACATTTCACCAACTATCTGGTCACCCTGTGGCCCAGCCAAGCTGACATATAAAATTAGCCATCACAGGAGGAGGTAAAGAGCAATAAGCATTATTTATTTATTTATGAAATTTAAAAAACATAACAGTAAGTTATATGGCATGTTAAGTCTTGAAAACCGTTGGAAAAAAAGCAGAGTCTGGTGAGGGGAGTCAGGAGTACACGTGGGGATGGATTTCAGACCTACAATAGGATGGCCCGTGTAGGTCTCACTGAGAACGCGACGTTTCATGCACACCTGGAGGAAACATTGCCCTGCACGTATCTGGCAGAAGCGAACAGAACCGCCGCAAGAGGAAACAACCATTGCAAAGGTCCGGAGCCCAGGACGCTCTCCAGCGTTCAAGGAACAACAGGCAGATGACTGGGGCTGGAATGGGCAGCCGGGGGAAGCGGTGAGTGCCAGGGGGGAGAGGAAATGGCGCGTTTTGATCAGAGAAATGACAGGATGGGGTTTTCTTCTGTAAGGATCGCTCTGGCTTCTGCACTGAGAATAGGCTGGGGGGACAGTCAGCGAAGAGGCAAGGAGACTGGGTTTGAGGCTGTACAGGGACCGGATGAGAGGTGCAGGATCTGGGGCGGACGTGGGCCAGCAGATCAGAGGAGTCAGCAGTGCGTCCTCGGTTGTTACCTGAGCACTGTTACCCGATGGTGCTGCTGTCATCTGCGGAGGAGCAACTGAAGAAGGAACAGGTTTTAGATTTGATGCACAGTTTAATCCTTAGCCACACATTCCCAGAGGCCACAATTCACTGACATTACCCACAGGGTGGCTGTTGATGCGCACCCGTGCCCCCGGCTCCATTCCTCTCTGGTTTCCGCCTTCGGCTTCTCTGGCTCCGAAGTGTCTTCTCATCCTCAGCTCAGTGCGGCATGACGTGGAAATGTCCTGTTTCTGAGACACAGGGACGTGCTTCTGGCCCAGAGCCAGCAAGGGGTGAGCTCTGTGCTGTTTCTCCGCTGGCGACGGCTGGAGCTGAGTCGTGCCCTTGGGCCAGCAGCAGACGTGCGTGAGACAGCTGGCCTGGATTAGGGGTAGGCTCCGTGGCTGGCCCTGCAGCTATTTTTGTTAATTCCCCAGGTCAGTTACTCATGATATCCTGAAACTAGCTGGCCCACAGAGGGATCTGACTTCGGGACTCTGCTGCACCCACACCACATTCTAACTAACAGAGGTAATGGGTGGAGACACACTGGTTTGAGATGGTTGATTTGGAGCAGACGCAGTCATGTCACAGGAGTGGATGCTGGCGAGGTAGCTTGCATTTTTGTGCTAAATACAGCGCTTGTCACTTAAGAGGAGATGAATGAAGGAACAAATTAAAGCTGAAGAGATATATAAAAAGGAACCTTCTAAGAGGTCAGATGTGATGTGGGTAGTAGAAATAACCTACCTAAGATGGCACTAGTTTATCCTTTTTTTGATACATGTATTTTTTTATTCATAGGTGAATAAAACTATCAGATACTTTCTTTTATGTCTTCCTCCTCTGTTTTCCCTGATTAGCCTGGTGTCCACGTACCCTGACGTCATCACGCTTTCTTGTTCCTATTATCCACTAAAATATTTATTGAGCCCCTTTCCTGGGCCAGGTATAATCCTAGGTATTTGGAATACATGAGTGAGGAAAGACCTCCCCTATGGGCTTTACACGCGGTGAGCAGCGTAATACACACAATAAATATGTTACACCAACATAAAAAGGAATAGAGCAGTAAAAAGGGATCTAGGGTGCTGGGGAGTTTTTATTAATGTAAAAGGGCTTAAGTGAGAATATTTGGCTGACTGAAATAATTGACTGAATATTTAATTCTGTTTGACTAGCCCGTCTGCCACCTGCTAGCAGCTGACCAGAATAAATACGGCACATCCATAAGGAGAAAGCAGGACCTAGAAAGGGATAAATATATGTTGCTTTCCCCACAACTGGCCAGGTGAATTCAGCCACTCAAAGGCGATACAGTCCACCTTCAATTCCAGATGCTCCTGACCTTGGCACATAGGATAGGATTGGGGGCTCGATGCTCAAGAGCTACAGAATAAAACCCACCAGCTGCAGTTTCAAGTACCCGCCTGAGCACCTTGGTGTCTTACTGATCTTGGTTTTTCTTTTTATAGCTGCGGGTCCTTGTGACTCCCAGCCCCGTGAGTTACTTTCTTCAGTACACTCAGTTTCTTGATTTATTTTCTTTTTTTGGTGACCCCCAAAATACAAAATCAAAATACTAATACATGCACCCTATCACTGGCCAACATTGGAAGAAGTTGGTAAACCTACAGAGATGAAAAATACACAACTGTTTCCCACAGCGGGTTTTCGAAAACTTCTCGGTTTCTAAGAAGTGCCTTCCCAGCACCACACAGCAGCGCTCACAGAACAGAACGCAGCTCCTGCAAAGGAAGGGCCAGGAGGTCAACTGCCTTCTGTTGGGCACAGTAAGTGCCCCTTCCAGAATAAACACCGGGACAGGCTGGGGTCAGAAACAGCTCACTGGGCAGCCAGGGGGACTTGTTCCACATGGGCAGGCCGTGTTAGGAACCCCACGAGTCTGTACAAGCCCTCTACGGTGAATAGCGTCTGATACTCAGTTTCCGGAGGAGGGAGGAAATGGATTATCGATCGGCTACAATCAATAACTGTACTCTGTGCTCTCTGTCTTATTTGAATATCAAAACCTTCGAAAGATTGGCATTATTATTCCTGTTTTATGAATGAGGGAATAAAGTGGAGAAACAGTGACTTGCACAAGATCTTCTGGCTAGAGCTGGATTTGAACCCAGGTATGTGTGGCTCTTAAGGAGCTTCATGCTTCTGCCTGTTGGAACCTGGGCTGAATAGCGGTAATTGTGTTGCTGATTTTCTTTACAGGCAATTTCTCTTGTGGCCACCAGTTTTTTTTAAATTCTGGAATTAATACCTGTTTTCAGACTGTCGGGTGCAGCTGTGTGTAGGAGCGGGCCACAGGGAAGAGGTATGCCAGCCTCCGGTGGGAGAATGTCCTTTTTGCTGCAGCCCCGTGGGTGTAAAGGTCAGCACACCGGTGTTGCCACGCACCACGGGCACCAGAGTCGGTCCTGAGTTTGAGCCTTGACTCTGCCCTTATTAGCAGAGAGAATAGCTTCCAGATCACAGAACAGATGTGGGGTGACAGTGCCCCAAGTCCATAATCTCCTTCCTCCTCGCACTTTCGGGGGACGTGACCTGAGGCCCGCTGCGCCGACATGGGGCGCCCGCCCCAGTGCCCCACACAGGCTCCCACTGCGAGGGGCCGCGGTGCCACGGGCACTATGGTCACGGCCCCGGGACAGAGGCTCATTCTCGCAATGGCTTTGAAATTAAATACTATTATCCCCCCTTTTTCACCAGAGGAAACTGAGGTTGAACCTGACTTAATATTTTGTCTCTGAAATTAACGTTGGCTTGTAATGTGAATTCTTGTGTTTAGAAACCGAATAAACCTCGCTGAACAAGGACTGCAGACGATCCCAGTGCCCACACTCCCGGCACCGCGCTGCCCACAGAGGCATGTTGGCCGCGGGAGCACCGGCCACACTGCAGCGAGCCACGGCCACGGGAGCTGAGTGACCGCAGGGCCCGGGGGGACAGTCCAGAGGGGCCCTGGCTGCTCGTTCTCTAAGGAGAAGAAATGCGGGGGAAAAGGGCATTCCAGGCCTAGTCCCGCGGACACAGAGGCGGAAAAACGGAGGCGGAGGAGCCACGGGTGCGGGAACCACGCGCTCACGGAACACGGGCCCGCGTGGCCCGCTCCGGGTGACGGGGTCGGCTCTTGGGGGGCCCCACACACGATGCAGAGGGATGTGGATGCCAGGAAGGGGTCTGGGTGGGAGTTCAAGCAGAGCGACGCCCGAATCAGAAGCAATGACCGACCCCCCGGGCAGGGAGAAGGGGCCCGGGGCGAGCACGGGGGCGGCACCGAAGGGGGGCAGCACGGGGGGCAGCATGGGGGGGCGGCACGGCCAGCTCGGGGCGAGGGAGGCAGTGGCCGGGCCGTGGCGGGGGCGGGTCTGCGGGGGGCACCCTGGGGACGGCCGCCGCTCCCTCCCTGCTGTGTCTCAGGCACTGGGCTCCGAGCAGGTGCCCGGGCACCGAGTGCTGGTTGACGACTGTGGCCCGCGTGAGAGGCGAGGAGGCCGGTGCCGAGGCCCCCCGCCTGGAGGGCGCTGAGAGGCAGGCATGGGAACCCGCTGTCCGGGGACCCCCAGGGACCCCGGGGCCCCCACGCAGACCTTAGGGCGAAGGGTGCCAGGCTTCGGGTCACAGTCAGAGGGCTGATAAAGAAAACGTTTTTAGATACGTACCTTTTAATGATCCCATGGGATGGTATTTGGGGCTATTTTATAAATAGTACTCCTATAGCTTTTTAAAAATGATATCTCAGCCATGCTTAAATATTATAAGTTACCTAGGGTTTTCCCTTGAAAAAATTAAAATTATCAGCCATCACAAATTCCTGGAGTTTTACTTCCTATTAGTTTGTAGGGTATTTTCTATTTGATTGCTTCTTAGGACACATTTGGCCCCACACATAGGAGACTGTCCTATATGAGGGATATTTAGGTTCTCAAATCAGTACACCGCACGGCCATGCCTTCACCTTTGAGCCGCGTGGCGCTGAATGGTGGGAACACGCACCCTTCCTGCCCTACTCCCCTCAGCCATCCTCACCCTTGGAAGCCATGTGGGGACCTGGCAGAGCCTACCATGGACGTGGGGCTTGAGGGCGACTTCAACAGAAGGCTCTAGGAGTTTCTGGTTGCTGACAATGAGGGGAAAGAGCAGCTGAAACAGGGAAACGGAGGCAAGTCTGGGAAGACATGGCTGCCACTTGGATTTACCTTCCACAATGCACATCACGGTTTGGAAAAGTATGATCTTATTCATCATTACTAACCCCTTTAGTTATCAATTAACCCTTTTTCATGGTCAGTGGAAATCGATCAAGAGCGATAAAGGGGCTGGAGAGAACGGAGGAAGAGCAGATGGGAGCTGGGAGCTCACACAGCAGGACCAGCCTGCTGATGGCGGGGCTGGCAGGACGCGGGCCAAACCCTGCCTTCCCTGTGCCCCCAGGCCAGGCCTACTTGTCTCAGAACTACTTACTGGTCTCAGCACCAGCTCCCTGGCTATCCTGGTCTGGAGTCTCACCAGTTACCCAGTCCGGCCGGGGAAAGGTGGGTGGCACTGGTGGCAGAGGCTTACGCCCTGGCTGGGAGGAGCCCAGCTGATCACTTCGGTTATCTGATAAGTTGTATAACTGAACATGTGAGTTCTGGTGTCTCCATCTGCAGCTGAGTATAACATCACTCTCCAAGCACGCTAGCGTGACACCGTGGAAATTAACAGGTGGTAAAAGAACTCTGAGACCCTTGAATTAAATGGTACCTCATAAATATTCACACAAAATGCCATCAGTGCGTATGCCATTTATATTAGGATTGGGAGGGGAGTCCCAAAGGACCAGGAAATCTATCTATCTTACTATTTCTATTTGCCATTCTATGTATGTCAAGTTCTCTCCCACTGAACTCCCCAACTCCACAAAACCAGCACGGCCCCTTCTCCATCTACATCCGCCGTGTGAGCACAGAAACCAGACGACGGCATTTGAGCCATGCATTTCAGATTCACTGAGAAGAATCTTCACACTAGAAAAATCATACAGAATGCTTTTCAAAGACAGTGAAGAAAACCATCTTCAATTAAAAACTATGTGTGTCTGGAGAAGCAATGGGATGTGGATTCTGAGACAGTGACACAATCCATCCTTCATCTGTAACGAGGACAACTACATGTCCACCGGCAGCTGCCGAATGGTCTCAAAACTGGGTTTTCTCGTGCAAGACAGTTCCCCGGTGCCACTGCAGTCTGATTTCCTGGTCAAGCACGTGTGGGGTACTGAGGACCCCAGTTCACATAAAGCTACCCCCACACTCAGCTGACACTCACCCACACTCAGCCCTATATGTATCCTACTTGATTTTTCCATTTGTGAAACACCTGGGAAATATGTTGGATTGAGTTGAAAAGCAAGGTGTTTACAAACTGGTAGAGAAATCTGATATTTATCCTGTCAGTGAAATGAACCTGACAGATGTATTTTTGGTTAAAATTAAAATCGTGGGCCCTCTCATGTTACCACTGGCGATGCCGCCAGATGCACAGCGTGTGGCTGACAAAGAAGCCCCCACGGTCACGTGAGCAGGCTGTGGTTTCCAACAGTTCATGACAGGGGAGCTTGTTACAGGGGCTGGCCTGGGAGGGGGGCCCATGTGTAGATTTACAAGAAGCAGACTTGTAAAGTGGAATAGAAATGATTATTTCCCATCTCTCCCCACCCACAAACATCCTCACTGTCAGGGCAGATGTCAGGGCAGGAAGCGGAGTTAGTCATCTTCAATTTGGGTCTGTCTGCAGAAATGGTTCTCATCTCAGACTAGCAGACTAGACATGCTCCCAAGGACATAGGTTTGGGAGTAGATAGGTTCTTCCCCTGTGCTCTCCAGGACCCCTTCTCCCACTGGCCTTACAACCCCAAGTAGGAGGGACCTGTGTGCATCCAGAAAACATAGGAGAGATGCAGGGGAGACCCTTTGGGGCCCCTGCCTAGGGCAGCCTCCTCTGGTCGCTTCCAGTGTCCTCTGATGCGTAGTTTATGAGTATGACACACTGTCAACGAGCTGTTGATTCCACTGCTGGCGATCCCGGGGGAAGAGCTCTGAGCCGCCTATGAAGATGGCTTCCCAAGGCCCTGTGGTCTGAGGTGGGAGCTGGGCATGTGGGAGTGCTGGGTCGGGGGGTCCTGGGGACCCATGTGGGTTTGAATTTCCATCCTTTCCGACCTCCACTTTATGGACTAGTGTTCGGTTCTTTCTAGGTCCAGGCATCTCCCGTCGTCATGATCCCCACACCCTGCAGAGCTGGTCTCTGCTGGTTCTGTCTCCCTGGAGGGTGGCTGCCTGCACGTCAGCAGTGTCTTTCCTTCATATTTAAATGGTCCCAGGTGTACACGTGACACCCTGGGAAGTCACAGAGACCCTCCTAGAACTGTCCACCGTAATTAAGAAGAAAACAATGGAGGGGAAAAAAGAATGAAAGATTAAGAGCCATATGTTCTGTACTCTGGACTCTTAAGAAGAAATTTGGGGGATGGTAACACCCCAGCCCCCTGCCACATAATGATCTGAAATAGAGAAACACCAGTATGATAAGCTTCATAAACAATGAGTCAAACAAATAAAACTCACCCATCGACAGTCTGAGTCCTGTGTAACAGCTTTCTAATTTAAAGAGGAATAAGCTAAGTCCCGTGGACCTGGGCTCTCCACTCAAACACAATTGAATGTGCTAATGACACCTTCCAAGGAGAGAGAGGACATGCTTACTGCTCCAGAGGAACAGGGAGTGATACGAGGCTCCGCAATACGTGCAGTTACTGTGAAGAAATAAAGACGCAGAGAGAACTGGAGTAGCAGAGATGGTCAGTGTTACCAGGACACGCTAGAACAACCAGCCCAGATTATGGCCGCATCGCACAGGGTGCTACTGGAACCGTCCTGACAGACCTAGTGGGAACCACTGAATTATGTCTCCTCGAAATCCATATGTTGACGTCCTAACACGAAGTCCCTCAGAATGCGACCTTGTCTGGAAACAGGGTGGTGACACGTCATTAGTTAAGATGAGGTCATACTGGAGAAGGGTGGGCCCCTAATTCCTTATAAAGAGGAGAAAGTTGGACACAGAGACTCATACACCACAAGAACGCATGTGAACACAAAGACAGAGATCAAGGCGATGTGTCAACCAGCCACAATCACCAGATCCAGCAAATCACCAGGAGC